GAGAGAGAGAGAGAGAGAGAGAGAGAGAGAGAGAGAGGAGAGAGAGAGATGAGAGAGAGAGAGAGAGAGAGAGAGAGAGAGAGAGAGAAGCAGACAGCAAGTGCGATAGCAGAAGCGACAGAAGAGACAGCAGAGGATACAGCGGAGGAGGCAACAGAGGTAACAGTGCATGTAAAAGCAGAACCGAAAGGAGAGGAGACAGAAGAGGAGCCATGAGAGGAGATAGCAGAAGAAACAGCAGAGGAGACAGCAGAAGCCAGAGCGCAAGTGACATCAGAGGAGGCAGCGAGGGCACCGGCAGTGCCGTGCGGCATGTCCGGGCCGCTGACCCAGTGCGGCGCCGCCGGCCGGCCCGACAGGAAGCAGTCCGGAAGGACGGTCGCTGACCCAGTTGCGCGAGGCGACCTGACCGGCCGGGCCGGTCGGCCAGTGGCGGCGGCGACGCTCTTCCAGCCGCGCGGCCGCCCGACGGCCAGCACACCGCCCCCGGAGTCGGCAGCGCCAGCATGTACGCCCGCTCAGCACAGGTGAGCACCCGCCGCCGGCCGTCCGGCCACGCACCACGCTCGGCGCTCGGCCGCAGGGTGGCGCGCTCGGCATCAGTCAGTGGTTGGCTGACTGTAGTTCGTGGTCGCTTTTGAAATTGAGAATATCTGTCCCGATGGACTTCAAGAAGTTTGCGTTGCGGACTTTGGGGACTTTGACATTTCCTAATGACTTTTTACAGCGTTTGCGATGGCTTTGTGTACAACAAACGCTCCGCTCTGTGGCTTCAAATTATCGCAAGCTATGTCATCAATACGGTAACAGCATAAAACATACCGATTTCATCTCAATCCCAGGAGAATAGCTTATAGGTCACGATGTTCTGCACCCCTAACACTTTATCACTATTTTCTCTTCAGTTACCCCAGCTTAAGGGGTCACAATGGCCTGGCCTGATATGTTTTTTTTCTGTGGCCAAAAGATCATCCACTTGCTTATAATTAACATGCATTCCTCAGCTAT